AACATCTAGCTTCGCAGCCAGCTAATAACTAGTGGTGCTTAGGACCCCTCTTTCCTCTACAAACTCATTCTGATATGTGGAACAGCCTATTGGAGGCGCGGATTGACTGGGGGACTGACTGACTAACCTCTTCTCAGGGAAGCGCAAGATGACAGCAGCAAAAGCAACGACCTTGATGTGCCCGTGACACCCATGTCTTGGAAGATCTTGACTCAAATATAGCAAAATACGAAGCAAGGTCTTCCATTATAACATCTCGGTCTACTCTAGTTTGTGCTGATGCTATCGAGAGACAGGGCTCCACGGAGACTCTCTCACACCTACTCAGATTCAGCCCTGCTTCCGAAGATGATCGGTTGTGACACAAGAACAAGACACCAACACAAACGGGCAAAGGCTCTTTCTAGTCATGATCAGGAGATCAGCAGTAGGGGGGGGGGGGAAATAGGAGAAAATGAAAATGAAAATGACGCGAGGAGATGAGGAGGAGGAGGAGGAGGAGGAGGAGGAGGCGAAGGTCCTAGACACGCAACCGAGTTTGAGATGAGACAAAAAGTAATTCCGAGATGCGTGGTCTTGGGGAACCATAAGAGCAGCATCTTGTTGTCTTTGTGTGACGTGCAGGGCGTCCACTCCGCCGCGGCATGTCAACGCCACGAATTTTGCGCAGGAAGAAGAGAAGAAGAAAGAGGAAGAAAATCATCTTGCGCCGAGGGAAGCATTGGTGGAGAAACGTTCATTTGTGGTTCGTGATCAAGTTGCCTTCTTGGCTCGTCTTGGACGAGAAGCAGACAATGCTACTGCCTTGCAATCCAAGCTGTTCGGGCATCTTCTGATTGTTCTGGCAAGCACATCGGAGCCAACGCAGAGGGGGGGAGAGAGAGGGAGGAAGCATTCCGAACAAGTGTGTGTGGATCGTGGTATGCCTAGATGTTCGGAAAGACGCAACTCTAGCCCCGGGTGGAAGGGGGTGGGGAGGAGAAGCTGCTATGCCAACCAAGTGGGAACCTAACAAGGTCGTATCACAGCTTGCTGACCTCCCCTTCCAAGGTTCCGTCTGAACAAGGCTTCCTGCTCCTGCACCCCTGGCGACCAGCTCAACACAAGGCTGCCTTGGGTCTATTTGTCACGGGGAACATACGCGCGTGGATGTGTGCGTGCGCGATCTGTGAAGACTCCTGCCTGTGGCTGGTATGACACATCACGGATCAATCTGCCTGCTGAGCAGCCCCGTGACGGGGGCCATACGCTGATTCCACGCAGTATTGAAACCCCTTTGGGCGACCTGCGTGAGATGGGGTCTTGGGAGCTAGAGAGGGTAGGAAGTGAGGGAGGAGGTCGTGAATGATTTAACCCAGACAGTGTATCAGTACGGAGGAGGATCTCGTGTACAAACCATCATAAGGCCCCTGGACAGTTGTTCGTGGAACCTGGCTGCTGGGTCCCCTTGTAACGAATCAACCCGATCGATGGGTGGCAGATGGGGAGAGCTGCACAGTTCACGGGCTCTCAAAGCCTATCGATTCCATGTAATGTTCCATTACCTGTCCGGCAAACGCGCGCCCTCTACTAGTGATCCGACCAGAGAAGGACGAGCGGGAGAGGTACTTCCCTCTGCTGAAAGAGAAGAGAGGGAGAGAGGAAGAGAGAAAATTCCACGAGCCCGAGAAGGGTTTGGGCTATTTTCCTTTCAGACCATCCATCAGACTGGTTGTTGTTTTTTTTTTTTTGGTTTTTTTTTTTGGTTTTGGTTTCTTTCCACTTCCCTTAATCGCCGCCATTGCCATGGCTCTTCTTGAAACCGTCAGCCATATCATCCCAGGGCCACGGCTCTGGCCCAAGCCATCTTCGCCCTACGCCGCTCCCCACCAGGAGATTTTCTCGGGACATTTTGCTTTTTCGCCTTTCTCCCCTGGTCTGCTCCCGACAAGAAGAGTGGAGCGTTTCTGCCGGCAGGGTGCAAGACGCCAAGTTTCGAACAAAAGACCCGAGCAGGTACGTACGACTAATTGATTGCTGGAAGAATAGCACGTGTCATTATTATTATTATTTGTTGAGCTGGGGGAGATGGAAAACTGGACCTCACTTGGCCCCGGAACCGACAAAGTCCGATCGGAAAACTCAACAAATAAGAACAGGAAAATGCAGGGAGCCGAAAATGAGAGAGAGCAAGAGGCCCAAAACTGCGCACCCTGTTCAGCCCTGCCGTGATAGATTCTCACCCACCATGACTACATGTATCGGCAGCGATCCAGGGGGTTATTGGTATTTGGGAAGGGGGGAGCCACGAGAGAGAAGGGCGGGGGGGGATTGGCACATCTCATCACATCACACGTGTATTTTCATTCGTCTCATGCATGCATGGAAGCCCACTCACGCATCCATCACTTACCCACTGGACTTTTCTTTGGAGGTAGGGTATCGGCTTATGAATTTTCGTTCTCTGCTTCCGGGGCCGTGCTCGACACCATCTTCTTGCCATGTGGGAATGCGGCACATGATGATGCCCGGGGGGGAGGGATAATGTGTGTGTGTGTGTGTGCGCGCGCGTGAGATCTTGGTCGTCCCCCAAGCGATGGTGTGTAGAGTAGAATAGGATCGAAGGATTGACCGCCATGTTTTGTGGTATGCATGTGCAGTCATGTACTATTACGTGCTGAGTGGGGTCAGAGGGCGGGAATATGGGGTGGTATTGATAGTGGTGCCTTTCTTTGTTTTCTTTTCCTGCCCTGAAGAAGACGGGAGAAACAAGGCGAGCGAAGGCGGCAAGGTATGCGTGTGTGCGATGCACACGCCATACGTGCGTATATCCTAATACATCCTTTAGTGCATGTTTGAGTACATACAGCAGTACTATGATCAAACCCTCCCCCTCTTCTTCTTGGCCAGAATTGATACTTTTCATATTGTCCCTTTTGCTCATTACATAAGAATTAATGGACTCGCTATATGTCTCTCACCTTCCTAAGGCTGCGCCCGCTCTCAAACCCTTCTTCGGCCTGGCTCACGGTACTATAGTACATAGCTACTTAGTACTCTGGTTCAAATCATTAGCATTTGCCCGCCCAAAAAAGCAAATCCCCAATTAAATCATCATTCCAACCAGAGGAGCCCCCCCCCCCCCAATCCAATACCTCACCCTCCAGCCCCTGGTACACAGCAGTGGGCAAGGGTCGCACTATGTCTGCTTTGGGAGGAGTGGAGAGCTGAAACTGTAGTCCACACACACACACACACACACACACACACACACACACACATTCCTCCCACATTCTGTCCAAGAAAAAAAAAAGGGGGGAGAGAAAGAGAGAGAGGAAGAGAGAAGAGACAAGAGTGAAAGAGACAATGAGTGGGTGGGTGGTGGTCCTGTTACACACTATTTGCTTCTTCTGCTACTGCTGCCGCTGCCGCTGCCGCTGCTGCTGATGAACATCAGCATCATCATTAGTCGGGGGGACGAAAACCGAAAAGAGGGGGGGGGGGAGATAGGGAAGGCTGGGGGCTGCAGTGACAAATTGAATGTGAACCCCGCTTACTGAGAAAGGGAGAAGGGGGGTGTTGTCGTGTTGACAAATTCCTGACGCATGCTAGGGCCTTTTGTGATTATTTTTTAATTGTTTGCTTTTTATACTTTTATTTTTAATTTATTTTCTTACTGCCGTGTGATTGAAATATGCAGGTGACCGAGCAAAGTTTACACACCAGCACACGCTCTTATGCACACACACACAGAGTAAGAGAGAGAAAGACAGCGTGAGAGGTAAGAACCAGTTTTTTGCCTACCGAAACGAGGCATCATTTCCATTGAAGGGGATTCCTGTTGGACACGGCATAGCTCAAGCAGCCGGTTCCATTCGTTGGGCCTTCAGCCCTCGCCCACCCACCCTCCAATCTCTCGATGGAGCTTTTAATATCCTGTTTTAGAGAAAGAGGAAGAAAACGAGCTACTAATAAGAAGGTAGGAATGGAAGAAGAAGAAAATTGGACTTCATGATACCAACAAATTAGAAGAATAAAAACTCCAGAACCCATTTCCATAAAGCTCTCCAAAAAAAGAAAAGAAGAAAAAGAAATAGAGGAAAGAAAAGGAAATTACCCAAAAAGAAATCTCCCTTTTCCCAATGCCTTGCCTAGGTATAGAATATGCTGTACAATGACCCCTTCCGTGGCTTTCCGTCTTCCGTGATAATCAAGAAAACAAAAAATCAAAATGTAAGTGGGAAAAGACCCAGTTTATCGAGACCGTCCCGTCCCAACCCAATCTGCAGTAGCCGTTATGATATCCCACGAGGACCCAAGAATCTTGTCTCCTGACTATAACACGCCCCTTGAAACCTTTCCTCCTTTCGCTCCCATTTCCCCCTTTCTCCTCTTTGCTGAGCCCAGTATCCCGTGAGTACGTAGCGACGACGCCATGAAACAAGAAAGAAGAAAGGGGGAAAAAAAAAGGCAAGGGGAAACAAAATGCATCTTGGATTGGAGTGTTGAGGAGAGAAAGAAATCAGAAATCCAAAATCGAGATAGTCTCCAGACAAGCTGACTTGTCGGACTCAGCGCTTCTGGGGGCCGTGCTCTTTGCACTTCATTGCCTGCTTGCTCTCGATGTGCCACCGGATCCTGCTGTAGCTTCACCTGCCGTCCAGGGCGAATAGGGCGACAGGGAATATTGGAAGTCCCTTCCAATCCTTGGCCCCTTTGATGAAGATACTCGTGTGCAGAGCGACAAAGAGCGAGCGAGCGAGCGAGAGAGAGAGAGAGTGTGTGTGTGTGTCTATCTGTGTCGCTCCTCAGATGCTGAATCGGCCCAGACTCTCAGGTGGAAGATCAAGTGCCAGCGGTCGTTCTTGGTCCATGTAGTTTGCCTGGATATCGTTGTACACTTTTGCGTCCCAAAAATTCTGGCACACAACACCTATTTCTTGGTATGCATAGGTGAAGATGATCCGCTGTGTATGCCGTGAGTACCGGACGAGTGTGGGCTCCCTTCCTTCTTGACCTTATCATCCTTTTCGCCGCAACACTTTACCAGCTTGTGCCTCTAAAACCAGTTGGTCAGCATGTGAGAACAAGACATGCCCAAAAGGCAAAAGGTGAGAAGAGAGAACCGGAATAAGAAGAGAGTATGAAAGAGAACGCACCTTCAACGCATCTTTCCTTGAGAAAGCCTTATCACAGCCATCGCACGGATATGGCTTCACCGCCCAGTGTATCCTCTTGTGCCTCTTGAGGTCGTGGTTTCTGGTGAAGGCTGTTGGACACTGGTCACACTGGTGCGGCTTCTCAGGCGTCCTCTGCTGCGCCTGGAACATGACGCCGCCAAAGTGACCACCGTGCGTGTACGCATTTCCCACGGGCTGGTGGTAGTTGGACACCAGGGCCATAGGCCCGCCCGGGTTGCCCAGGTTGTGCATATACTGTTGGGGTTGGTGGTGATGGTGGTGGTGTTGATGTTGGTGTTGTTGTTGTTGTTGCTGCTGCTGCTGCTGCTGCTGCTGTTGGCTCGCCGCCGCCGCCGCTGCTGCTGAGTATTCGGAGAGCCGTCCTGCTCCGGAATGGGATGAGGGCGGTCCGCCGGTCGAGCTGCCTAAAGGTGAGATGGGCGCCGAGAGGCCGGGCCGGGAGGACCCAACCGTGGTAATGGGGAGCATGGAAGAGATTCCCGGGACGAAGGCGGACATGGTGCTCGCTGGTGTTGGGAAGGAGGACGAGCGGCTGAGCGGAGGTGTGGGCCTGGATGAGTAGGGCGTCGTGTTCCCGCGGAACGGAGGCAGGACTCCATTGCTGCTGCCGTTAGAAGCGCTCTGCTCGATGGACAGGTGTGACATGGTGGTCGCTGGCGAGGAGTGGAAAGACGCTTGGGTGTCAGCTGGGGTCGTGGCTGTGACTGGAGACATGTTGTTCGCCATGGTCGTGGAGAGCGAGTGCATGCCATGCTGGAAGAAGGGTCCTCCTGGGTTCAGGCCTGGTGTCCTATTGCCGCCGTACTGTTGTTGCGGCGAACGGCTCGAGGACCACGGATCGCCGTTCGACCAGGTGTAGCCAGCACTTCCAGCGTGTGAATCAGGAGAATTTCCCCCATTCAGGGCGAGAGGTGAAGTCTGTAGGTGCACGCCCGTGTTCTCTGCCACTGTCCGTCCTGTCACGGCAGGGTTAGTCTACTCCATTCCACTTGACTGGTGATGGTGCTACCCTCTTCTTCTCAGAATGTGGAAAAGAGAAGGAGATAAGGTAGAAAGAGAAGAGAGAAAAAACAAGGAACGAACTGTTGCTGGCGTCGCCCTCGGGCGGAAACAACGAAGCAGTAGTAACGGGGGTTGGGGAAGGTCTGTTCGTACTGGGAATTTCTGCGGCCTGGTATTGCTGTGGTGGAAGGTTTGAGTAGGAGGGCATCATCAGATGGCGACCGTGGGAAGGAGAGTGTGGTCTTGGGCCAGCTCCTGGGCCCATGTGGTCGGGATGGTGATCCATTACCGAGGACAAGAAGTGAGGAGTACTCCCGGGTGCCAGAACAAGGACCATGAGTAGGACGAGTTGGTTGGTACAGCGAGGTAGATAAAATGGTGGGTTGGATTTCGTCTCGTCCTCTGGCGTCGCTGCGTTGAAGGTCGAGTGGTGCTTCTCCAGTGATCTCTCGAACCGTTCCTCGATCGACTCGACTTTCAAACTGGAAAGACGCAAGGGGACGCGCTCTCAGGATCGTGGTATGGTATAGTTATATATGTATGTGTATACACGCGCGCACACATAGATATATCTACCTGGGCGGGGGTAGGTGCTGGTCTCGACAAATATTGGTTGGTATCGGAACGGTGACGACGATGGCTTACAACAACCTCGAGAGAGACGGTGACTATTTGATCTGCGCCGGGAAGAGGAACTGGTCGTCTGCGTAGAGTCGTATCCCAGGAAACCACAGGTAGGAAGGAGGAGGATGTGGTGCTCTTTTTAAGTGATGGTGCCCCAGTTGCTTGAATCAGGTTGACGTGCACAAGGTGGATTGCACCAAGAGGTCGAGATCGCTTCTGCTCGGGCGGTGCCGCCTTTCCACTCTTTCTTTTTGTCAACCCAGATCGGAGAGGTCCAATGCCCCCTGTAGAAGGAAGTCCGGGTTGTTTGAACTGGTGGAATACGCGAAGGGCCCCAGAGAAGGAGGGTGGGGGACCGGGGTGGTCTTGTAATCGCCCGGCCGTGTCGCACTGGGGAGCTGGGGGGAGGGCTGCAAAAAGAAACCCCTACCAGGTTCAAGGGCTAGATATTTTTGGCCGGGGTTGGTCCTTTATTTTTTTCCTTTTTCTCTTCTTCTTGATTCCTCTTCTTCCTTTCCACCTTTTCTTGCCCTTGCCCTTACCCTCGCTGGATAGTGCAGTCTCTTTTCGGTTTGCGGAGTAGACTCAGACAAGGTGAAAATGACATGTAGCAGGCGACGCACACAGCGCAGAAATTACCCAGCAGCCCGGACCTGCGTCACAATGAAGGGGAAAAGTCCCTCTCGTAATTATACAGGAGGAAGAGAGAGATGAGAGGGCGTGATGGCGCAGAGGTCAGGTGTCAGGAGAGTGCACACAAGGCCAGCTGGGAGGAGCTTCTCACACGACAGTCCGCTGTCAACAGAGCGCGGGAGAAAGGCTGGTCTTTCTATCTGTTTCGATTTTATTCAATTGTTATTCGTCTTGTCGTGTCTGGCCGTAGTCGTGCTGGCTATGATTCTCCTTTCTTTCGCTAGTCCCAGGTGGAAAAAAGGGCTGGCTGCCTGGTATCTCCGCAAGTACTAGTAGGGGCTGAAAGGAAATAGACAGGTTGTCCCAAGGCAGGGTACCCAGGACAAGAAGGAGAGACGGCACAGAGCAAGCATACTCAAGATATCCTGGGAATGTTAGCCGGTTTATGGGTGGTCCCCGGGTTGGGTGTCTGACTGTGGCGCTTCTGGGTACTGAAGCGTGTACTCTGACCGGGGGGAGGGGGTGGGTGCGCGCCCTCGTAAGTCTGGGTGTGTGTGGGTGTGTGGGTTGCTTGTTGCTTTTTCCTGACGACCATGGGGGCGACATCGTCAGCTCGCCAAAATGCGAGTTTTTTCCCCTCCTCATTAGGAATACCTGCTGCTACGATGGTAGATTGAGGAAACCCATACTTACATAGGAATATCGATGGAACAACTGTTCCGAGGGAGAAAGAGAATGAGAGCAGAAACACAGAGAGAGAGAGAAGAGAGAGACAGAGAGAGACGCTGGAGGGTGAGCGTGTATGTGAGACAAGGGAGTGAACTAGCAGTAGCTTTACCGGATGAAGCTGCTCTTGGCCAGACTCGAGGACGATATCACAGGTTTCATACAGAAACGATGACGATGAGAGGGATCTGCTGGCTAGTCAAGCATGTTTGTCAGAACATAATAAGCTCAGAGGCTATATCGAGTAGTGTTTGGATAATGGGGAGGGAACACTGGGTGTGGAAACTCGAGCTGGTAGATCCGCCGAACTCGTCTCATGTCTGCCTTGAAGGACACAGCAGGTCATTGACCATGAGTACCCCTGATTCCCTCTTAAGTTTTTTAATCCTTTTTTTTTCTTCTTCTTCCTTTCCCTCTGGAGCGAGGTTGGAATCTGGTCGCTGGGATGCGCCTTCAATAGCAAGGGGGACACTCACAGAGAGATAGAAGAAAATGAGGCAACCGTCCCCTGTCCCTTCCTCTATTTGGCAATAGATAGTTACGACTGACTGCTCAGTCTTGTTCTGTCTGGGTTCGAGACTGGTCGCACGCCAGCACGATGGCGGCTAGGGGGAAAAGTACGGGGCATCAAGGAAAAAGGAGACGTAAGTCCCAGCAGCTCGGGGCGCTAGTCAAGGGGAAAAAAAAAAAGAACAAGCTACGAGTGAGCATGTGGTTTCCAGTAGCGTCCCAGCCGAAGCGAGGGACCCTGGACTGCCATTCCGCTCCTACATTTTGCATGCTAGGGATGGGCAAGTGATGAAGGGGCATGGGGCATGGCCAGCCCAGCCGTGCTGCCCGCCACCCAAGATTTCCCGAAGCCCATGAAGACGGCAGGATCCCAACGATACCGAATCGATCCTAGATCCCCTGATGTCTGCGCTAGGAAACAGGGGACAAAGGGTGATGGGCTCGACGGGATATCCTGAATCGACAGTCTACCTCCACGGAGGCTACTGCAGTCGAGACTGCAGGAGAGGGACGGGATCGAAAGAAGCTGTGTAGTAAGGTTCACCACGAGGCTGCAGATCCACACTGTCACGAACGGCCACATGAATTTCGTGTGCGGGACCGAACACGAAAGGGGAGGAACAGATTGGGGGGGGGTCTGTGGTAGTAGAGACAAGAAAAATGCTCAGAAACACAATATGAGATGAACTCACTCACCAATGTTTGGACAGGTATAGTCTCAATACCACGTTTTCTCCAAGTGAAAGACGGTCTGAACCCTGCTCCCATATGACCCTCCATAGTACACATCAAGGATCCGGGACGAAGGCCTGAAGCTCAGGTGCTGTCAGTCAGGTCGTATGCCCGGGGCTCAGTAAATTGAAGCTGAAAAAAGTACGGTACTTTGTTTCAGAATCCAACTCATACAAGTCATAAGTGTTCGTGCTGATCGGAGAGAAGAGAGAGGAAGCGGACAGATGCTGTGGAACTTGGAAGAAGCAGGCAGCGCTGCTTGACACCCACCCTCATAGTCTCTCTTCAGAGTCAACTTACTGACCAGCCCACAAATGAGTGTCGCGGCAAGGCGTGGTTAATTAGGAGGCCAAACAACAGAAGATACCTCGGCTGCAGACTTTTCGGTAGTAGCATTTTGCGCAAGAGTCGCACCCCTGTTGCGGACTCTGCTCTTGTTTTCTTATGACATGCTGATATGTGTGTATGTATGAAGAGCAAAGACGCAGGTGCGCCACGTCGAATTTGGGAAAAGGTGATGCTCAGGAGAAATGCACGGCCTGAACCGCAAGGTGGCATGAGACGAGGCTCAGGGCCTGCATGTAATGTCGATTAGGTTGAAAGCTTAATCCACCGGTTCCTTCGAGCCTCAAAAGTGGGCAAAGGCAGGCCGGCGTTCGGACAGCGATCCAGGGGTGGTCTGACTGAGACGTGCTTGGACAGGGGGTGAAAAAATTCCGGCTCCCTGCGGGACAGGCCCTCGCTGATGGCCCGCTTTGCTTGCGACTCAATTAGTGCAATCAGCGACCGGGCTTCCTGCTCTGGAAGAGGTAAGAAGAGTCTCACGCTTTTGCAAAGTCCGAGATTTGGCTTACTGAGACCAACCCCCCCTTCCGGCGGTACGAGTGCAGACCCCCAAAAAG